CGTCGCACCCAGCACCTCTCACAGGCCGCATTTGGTCACTTCTGCCGCACGCTCGCCGGATCACGGGGGGGGGGGACTTGCAAACCTTTCAGAACCCTCGTCAGCCGGGGGACGTGATCAGGAGGTGGCGGTGCGGCGAGTAGGTTCGAGCATCATCTCCGGCAGCTTCTCATGCATGCCGGGTTATTACTCCGGGCACTCTTTGCTCACGCCGTTTTCCTCCGACACGCAAGGACACAAAAAACAAACCCCAAACCCCGCTCGCCAATAAACAAAACGAATCTGATCAAACTTTCCCAATGTAGCAGGATCCTCCTGAGAAGCAGCCTTCAGGCCCCGCGAGCCTCCTCCGGAGGTTCTCGTCGCCGTCCACCGGCTCTCACCGACTCCCGGCACCCGCGCTCGTCGGCAGCGGAGATTCGGACCCCGCGCGCCGGCCGCGCATGCCGAGTCCACCATCGCGGGTGAACGGGTTAAACCCGGCAGGGCGCGGGAAGGAAGCGCGGAGTGCGAACGCGCCGTCTCATTCGAGCCCCCATTCATAATTAATGCGCAAAGCCTCAACGCCCCCCCGCCCCTGCCGCCCTTCCCCGACCCTGTCTTGTGGGGCGCGGGGAGGGCACAATATCAAGCGCAGATCCCTTACACGTGGAGAGAAACGTACCGCCCCCCCCCCCCCCCCCCATTAACTGCCGCCCAAATAATAGAGGGAGAGCGGAGGAGAGAGAGAGAGAGAGAGGAGTAATAACGGCAAAACACAAGGGCGCTGTTATTCGGAGCTCGGCTTGCGCCGCTCGCCGCTCGCCGGTGATTGAGAGGCGAGAACAGCGAGGGCCCTTGTACCGCGCCAGCACCAGCCCCCATTCGCATAATGCCCCAAACCCCCCCCCACCCCTCCCCCGCCCCCCTCCCTCCCAGCGATGTTTACTCCTTTCTCCAATTACCAGCGAACGCCATGTGCGTGCGTGTGTGTAAGAAAATCCAATTTTGTACCGGTGTCTTCGTCAAATTGCTTTAATTGTGGGTTTTAATCAACTGTGTATGTGTACGCCATCGCGTAATGGTTTTCTGAAACACGCTTGTTTGTTTGTCTGTCATTCCGCTTGGAACTCGGGAGCCAAAAATTCGCGTGGGGTTGAGCAATGCGAACAAAAATGTGAAAATGTTTGTGTTTAACGAAGAGAACGAAAAGTTCGGCGAACACCGCCAAATCGCCCCCCCCCCATCCGCCCCCGGCCAGTAGCGGAGCAACAGACATCGCGGGACTACAAGTGAGTGCAGAATGGTGCGCGTTTGGAGAAGGCGTAGACAGAGAGTGGGGGACTGCACACCATTCGCCATCCGTCCGTCGTGGCAAACGGGCGACGACCGCGGCACACGGCAAGAGCAACGCGGCGGCTCCAAAAGGCGCCGCGCGCAACGCTAACGCCGAACGTCGTGGATTCAGGCCTCCCCCAAAAGCCATCGCCATCTCTCGTGGCCATCGCCATGCAACGATCCACCTTAGGTCCTGCATGCGAGCGGATCGAAAAATCGCTCCGTGTCGACAAGTGCACACCACCGCCGCTTGGGAAGGCTCCATCCCTCGGCTGCCACCGTGTCCTGCCAAAGCCCACTTACTCCTCACACCTTTGTGCTTCTGTGCCCGTGGGTGTACACACACACTGGGTGTACACACACACTGGGTGTACACACACACACAGACGGGGGAGCAGCGTACCGCGATGTGAACGCGTCGGCCAGAGTTCGATACCCGCTCACGAGCAATATCTGAACCGGTCGTGGGCCAACCCCTAGGTTGACTCCACCTCAAATGAGCACCTGGTGCGGTGTGTAAACATCAGCACCGGTGAGAGACAAAGGCGGCCAGACGTGCTGTTGTCCACCCATCCACTTGTTGTCCACCCAAACTGCCGTCGCCAATTGTGCTCACCCCAACAGTCTGTGCACCCTACACAGCGGGATCTTTGCCTTTAGGTATATATATAAACACAAGTGCTATATTCAAGTACATTTGATTCTGGCCATTTGTTTTTATATATATTTTAGTTCACGAAGCACTTACAAACAGGAGTGTTTTTGTGCGAGTGCGCATTTTTGCCAAGCGCGCGATGCTTCTCGAGTTAATTGCACCCACTAACAAGCGCGCCCCGTGTTCGGATGCGAGCGAGCGAGCGTGCGTGCCGATGACGTACCGCACTCCTGGTGTGTGTAAATCGCCACAGGCAAACTAGCGTGAAGGCGATTGTCGGGCGGCATAGGCATGGCTCACGCACTTCACTGCGCACGCACGCATCGGTGCGTGCGTGCGTGCGTAAGCTTGCTTTTTTTTGTTTACACAGTAGATGGGCACAGACTCATCAGGCCCAAAGCGTCACGTGGCCAGCCACAAACTGCACTATCAAAGAGCTTGAGAGGGGGGGGGGAGAAAGAGACGATGGGGGGAGGGAATTCCCAAGTGGAGCAGAGCAAGGGAAGAGGCAGATGGAGAAGTGAGGTGACCTGCAGAGTGGCGAGTGTGTGGGCGAGTTAGTGAGTGGGCGAGTGTGTGGGCGAGTTAGTGAGTGGGCGAGTGTGTGGGCGAGTTAGTGAGTGGGCGAGTGTGTGGGCGAGTTAGTGAGTGGGCGAGTGTGTGGGCGAGTTAGTGAGTGGGCGAGTTAGTGAGTGGGCGAGTGTGTGGGCGAGTTAGTGAGTGGGCGAGTGTGTGGGCGAGTTAGTGAGTGGGCGAGTGTGTGGGCGAGTTAGTGAGTGGGCGAGTGTGTGGGCGAGTTAGTGAGCGGACGAGTGGGTGAGCGCGTGCGTCGTTGTGACCTGCAGTGCGGCGAGTGTGTGGGCGAGTTCGTGAGCGGACGAGTGTGTGGGCGAGTTAGTGAGTGGACGAGTGGGTGAGCGCGTGCGTCGTTGTGACCTGCAGTGCGGTGAGTGTGTGGGTGAGTTAGTGAGCGGACGAGTGTGTGGGCGAGTTAGTGAGTGGGCGAGTTAGTGAGCGGACGAGTGGGTGAGCGAGTGCGTCGTTGTGACCTGCAGCCGATCCAGGTATCCCCCCACCTCCCCGCCCGCCCGTACTGAGCGTTCATTTTTCGACGCAACTGCCAAGCCGGGGCTAATGCCGCAGAATTAACGGCCTATTTGTCCACCAATGGCGTTTTTGAATGTGTGTTCTCTCAGATATGACGCAGTGCTCTGGGCTCGGAGGTCGCGAGCTCAGGGCCCTGCACACAAACCGCGCGCCAGATAAACCCCACTGCCGCACACTCTGTTTGTTTACAAAGCGCCGAACGTCAACAAAAATGTTTTACTCTGTTCAACTACCGAAGGCAGATAAACGAAAAATCTATTTTTATTAGTTTTTTTGAACTTTCTTTTTCGCTCTCCCTCTTTCTCACCACAGCTCGCTCCAGTCGAGGCTCAAAAGCGGAGCGACCCACGGAGCGGAGTGACCCACGGAGCGGCGCTCTGCGAAAAGTCCGGCGCTAAATAAAACCGGCTCCACGCGGCCCGGCACGTTCTGTCCACACGGCCGCCCCGCCAAGCCAGTGCCCGGGGCGGTGCACGTTCTCCGCACAGTGGCACCAACGTTCTACGGCCAGCGGCGATGGCCAGATGCCTTCGCAGAAGAGGGCTCGTGTACTTCGAGGTTTTAACCACATTATAAACTAAACTATTTTTTATTTTACCAGGAAAAGCCCACTGAGTTATATAGCTCTTTTTCAGAAGCAACCTGGCCACAGATAATAGCTCAACGAAGTGGCTTATCACGTGGAAATGTATAGCAGCTAAATACTCCAAGCGCACGTTTCTAAATGCGGAGGGAAAAACTAAAGGGACCCGGAGAAAAATCCCCACGACAACGGGGAGAGAGACATGTAAACTCCAAATGTACAGCAGGCGTCAAGGGTCGGGATTGAACCCACGACCTCCTGCAAGCAAGGTAGTTAACATCTCGCCACCACGGCGCCCAGGATGAAAACCATCAACTCGAGCGCGATGGTTAGGACCCAAGACATTCGGGGTAATTGTAACCTGCAGCAGGTCTTCCCACGGGGGGCGACGGGGGCTCGCACGCGATGCACGTGGGGCGACGAGGATTACGGGACAACTCGCGCTGCAATTGCGCGGGCGAATGCCACCCAACGGAGCGCGCCGCCGTGAACAGTCACCCCCTTACGAGTGGCTTCTCGGCGGGACGACTAAAGTTCATTCCGTATATCCAATGATGTCCTGGACTGGAAGTAAACACGCGACATCTCCCCTTGTTGAACGTTGCTATTTCCACGCGGCAGAAGAAGACGACAACTAGGATGTGTATCGATTCACATTGATTTGTCGAGCTCGCGATACGCGCAAATTGTGTGCGTGTTAAATTGTTATTTTCAATTCGAATGCACGCGCACACGCGTGCACACAAACACACAAGCACACGACACGATGTGGTGGAGGTTTTCCTTCGGCAACTGTAAAGTATCATTATGAATTTAGGTATTACCAACCACGTGTGCGGGAGCAGGTGGTGCAGTGGTTGGGACACTGCAACGTGAACGCGACGATCAGAGTCCGATATCTCAAAATGGTCCTGGCTCCACTCCCATCCGCAGGACCGCACCGACCGGCGTGGTGAAGTATGTTCAAACAACCGTGACCAACACAGCATGGAGGCATTCATCGAGCAGTGGATTGACAGAATGGCTGTAAATTAATTACCGCCTTCAACTTAAAAGCCGCGACATTCACCCCAACGCAAGAACGAATCATTGATTCTTGAATCGAAACGCGACTCGTCACCCCGGCGCTTCATCAACCTCCTGGTGGACAAGTCGTTTCACCCCTCAACTTACAGCTGGGGGTTAAAACGCTCACCTCCGGCGAGCCCCGGGCCACACCTGCACGCTCCCACAGGTCGCTCGGACGTTTGGCTACCTCGACAGGTTTAAAACAAACACCAAGAGCAGAGGAGACGCGCACACGAACGACGCAAAACGACGGAGGGGGTGACAACGTACCTATGCCGGCCTGCCCGACGATCCACGACAGGCGGATGAAGAGCATCACGCCCCAGATATTGAGCATGCATCGTACCTGTCAGACGCAGACGGCACGCAAAACATCCCTCAGTTAGACAGACTAGACTGCTGGAACGTCAGTTGCGTCGGCAAGCGCCTATTTCGCCAGCAGAGGTCACTGCCCTGCCCCCCTCCCCACCAGCACCCGTGCCGATGTACACAACTTAGACAGCCCCCACACGTGGTTGATATGTACACTCACGCTGCCACTGCAAAGATCCCCCGTTTAGCCTTTACAGACTTTTGAGGCAAGTGCGGTTAGTGAGCACCTACGAAGGTCGGCACGACACATGGAGGGGTGGGGGCAGCACCACGTCCGGCGCCTTTTGTCTCCCAAGTGGCGATGGGTTGTTGGCCATGAACGGGAATCGAACTCGGGTTGCCGGGTTCGACAGCATCGCTGACCGCTATGCTCCACACACCCCACCCCGGTGTGTGACCTGTGCGGCCGCGGCCAGAGGCCCCCCGTCCGACCCCGTGGTGGCGCCCCCCTCCCCGTGTCCGTGTTGGTGGGCGGCGCTCTATAAAAAAGGTCGACTTTTGACAACCATTATTTTCACGGCTGCACCGGGGGACTTGACCTTTCGGGAAATTCGGCATCGCGCCAAATTGTACCGGTCGGGGGCATCGGAGGCAGCCACCCATGGCGCATGCGGGCACACTTGCTTCTTTAACAAAAACAAACACAAATAATATATTTTTCCCGAATTTCACCCCGATTGTGCGATTGGAACGATGCCGTGAAAAGAAACATGCATTAGCATCTCTCGCGTAGAGACATTTTGCACCGTACGTAGCCAACCGTGCTAATCTTCCAGTAACCTTTCTCCAGCACAGAGTGATGCAATGCTAGCTGCAGAGCTCCGAATATAACATGGAACGCTGATGAAAAAATTTGAATGAAAAAATGGCGGCGCGGAAATATATAATTTAGACAATTCAATACTACACCAACAGTGTGCTTAGGATGACCCCAATGAGTCATGCGATGGATCGGATCCAGACTCCTCCCTCTCTCTACCCCCCCCACCACCCTCACCACACCACCATCTCCAGGAAGCGGTGGTGGCGGCCAACCGTGCCGCTGTTATCTTGTCGTAGCGCTGGTGACACTGAACCTGGGGGCAGGGAACCGCCAAACCAAACGCGGGCGGCGATGTCTCAAGACCGGGGTTGCTGACTGGAGTTGGCCGTAGATTCCAGCGATAACGAGCAGGAGAGAGGGGGGGGTGTATTTACAAACACCCACGGCAACTTTCACGTGCACGGTTCGGCCGGTTAAGGGTTTGGTTTGACAAGGCTAAGCAAAATTGATTTAACCCCGATTTCTCGTGTTGCTTTCATGTCATTCTTGTTGCGTCTCCGAGGTGAACGTCCTCTCTTGGGTGCATCTCGGTCCGCTGGCCGCAACGACGTCGTCGTCGTCGTCGTCAACGCACTGCGCACGTCACCAGAGAGCGACCTAATCTGCCGCACCCGCTTCTCGAAAATCGTCGGCCAGGGCCCAAAGTCTCTCCCCCGCACCCTTAACGAGCACGGAGCCTTCTTCCGTCACCGCCTGACCCTCCTCGGTCAGTGCTGGAAAATTCTCCGTTTCCATGGCAGGGAGAGGCACGTTCTGTGGACAAACAGCGTCGACCTCCAGGTCCAGCGCTGTGACCACAGGTTGATGATCGAGGCGAAGGATTCAGGCTGTCACCCCACGATTAGTACTGCAGCTTTCTCTACCAGCTGACCTTTAGCCGATCCGCTATTTTCCATTGCTCTTCAGATGCACGGACAAACTCCCAAGATTTCGGGATGGGGAAATTCCACCACTGCCTCAGGACTGCAAACGGGAACTTGGGCACCACCTCAATAGTAATTTGACGAGGAAATCACTTTGACCTCAGATACAAGAGGATTTGTTTATTATCGCTGCCTGTTCAAATTCCGCTCCGCGGTCTAAAAAATGCCTTCATGGTCTTGCCCCACCATATCTTGCCACTCTTGTATCCCTTCTGTGTCCCTTCTCGCCCTCCACGTTCTCAGGCTTTGTCGTCTCTCCCCGTTCCTCCTCCTGCTGCTGCTCAACCACGCTTATGCCCTTTCTCTCCTCTCGCTCCCCCCCCCCCCCCCGCCTTCACTGGAACAAACTTCCCCTCCGCGTTAAGCGGCCACCTTCGCTCACACACGTTTCCGCTCCTCCCTCAAAACTCACTTTTTTTTCCCAATAGCTCACTCCACTACCCCCCCCCCCCCCTTATAGCCACTACCACCGTTCCTGCTCGCTCTTCACAATGCCTCTCCATGGCTCACACTCATTCCCGTTCCATCCAATCCATTAGTCAACATTATTTGCTCTCGTACATTTTGCCTTTACTTCATGCACGCATCACAGGTTTGCCCAATCACCTCCTCTCATCTATTCTATTCACCTCATCTTCAACACGGCATTTGTACTTACCATTGTGAATTCTCTGCAGCGCGCCTTCGCCAAGGCGCGATATAAATGACGTTAATACGAGATTGTAGGCAAGGCAACCTGCGATTTCATCCTCCACGTGGTCACGAGGAGAGAGTCTTGGATTAAAGGTCAGGACGCATGAGGCCCAGGCTAGGCAGACTTTTATGTGGAGGCCAATTGAAGCTGGATCCTCCAGGCCGAGGCCGTGTTAGGGCTGGGGCCCTCCAGGCCAGGAACAATGCCCGTGGGTTGCCCGTGGTTGTTTGGAAAATAAAAGATAAAAAAACGTCCAGGTTATTATTATTTTTCTTACACAAAAAAGTTGTAGTACGCGCTCCTCCGGCGACTTCGATGAATGGGGTCGTTTAAAAACAAAGGGGATCCAAAATCCACTAGAGTGGGTGAACGTGACATTTGCGCACGGATGCATGAAATGCCTCTTCAGCAGAGCTGTCAAGTCCATTAACGGCGACTGGGGCTCTTCCGTGAGAGCGCAGATTCCAGTGCGGGAGAGACAAGCCCAGCAACAGCACCACTACTACTCCAAAAGAAAAAAGATAAAAATGTTAGGAGGTCATTGACAGAGCACGATGAAGCTCGGCGTCTCTGCCCGTCTTGTTTTCGCGGGGGTTTATCAGCAGCAGCAGCAGCAAATTCTTCCAGTAAAGCTTTGATAACGGGCGTGAAGAGGATGAGCAGTTTCTGGGCAATTAGTGCTCCCCTCACCAACACGCACCGTGACCAGCAGTGGTGAAGAACGGACAAACAACACCCGTGACGGACACTGCGGTCGGGCGGTCTTCATCCAGCAGTGAATCAAGACAGGGGCTGTAAAAAAATCACCATCAGTGGAGTTCATGTGACCCCAGTGCAAATTAACAAACTCCGTTCTCTGCTTCACTTACACGACCGACAGCTCCTACACCACGGCTCTGGATCTACCAGCAGGTCGCGTTGGGTAAAGGAGCAAGGGTTGGGGGTACGGCCGGGACGCCTTCTGGGTTTGACCAAATCGCGACGCACGTCACGCGGGAGGGCCCCGTCTGGAGGACCGACCCTCGCCGTCGAGGTGGAATACAGCAAATCGGCGGCTAAAAAGGCACGGAACGCGTCCGAGAGGACGCCGACCGGAGAGATGGCGTGAGGGAAATCGGCTCGTGGTCGGGCGCTAGGAGGATTCACTACGCCGCAGGATCGTGAGAAGCGGCGGCGGCGGTTGGCGAGGCCTTCATCCGGCAATGGAGTGATCTGAGCACAGCTGATGAAGACGATCATCCCCATCACAATGAGGCCCCTGCTTTGGAACACCCCAATGTCCTCTTGTCAGTTGAACGCCCCGGCCATTGTGCGACGGGATCATAGAAAATCCGTTATAAAATCCTCTACGCAAAAACAATTCCTCCGAGCGAGCGGCAATCCGAGCCGGGGGCCGCACGATTCGCCGCAAATGGCCCCCCCCCCCTGATCCCCCGCTGGAGCGTGGGCCCAGCCCCCCCGCCATCGGCGAGCCGGTTTCTATGCGTACGGCGGCGGCGATGTTATTTTGAAATCGAGGTACAGTGGATATCTCCCTCGAGTTTTAACCCCTACATGCATGAACCACCTTCGCTCCAGTTAATTGGCAACACCTGCAGAGCATAAATGCAGCTGCTGCGGATTGCCGAGGCGAACCGTTCACCTGCCAGGCAGCCGCGTAGGTAGCGTGGCTGGCGATGGGCCCCAGGCTCAAGAAAATGTAATGGTGGGGGGAGGGGGTGGGGGCCCTCCATGCGATTGCCCCCCCTCTCCAGACCACCCCGCTGCCTCGCTGCCCCTGCGCTCCCCTCCGACCCCGCCGGGCTCCGGTGCGGTTGCGCCGCCTGCATACTCGGCAGCTGTATGTAGTTGGTAGAACTTCTTTTGCGCCGTACGAATCCGACCATGCTGAAATCGGAGGTACCGAGCCGCCACTCAAACGGTCACCAACCCGATTTAAAGCTTTCGTGACTGCAGGGATTCATCTTCTTGGTTCTTTCGGTAAAGTCACGTAGAAGGGAAGTAATAAAATAATAAAAATAAAACATATTAATTACGTAATAAAATAATAAAAATAAAACATAATAATTATGTTTTATTTTTATTATTTTATTGCTTCCCTTCTACGTGACTTTACCAAAAGAACCAAGAAGAGGTCACCAACCCTCCACCCCCCTTGCTCGCCGCACGCCAGAGGAGACCGACGACGTCAACGGCGGACGCTTGGAGGAGTCGCCGTTCGTCTGCCCAAAGCGCAGCTCAAAAACGCACGGCGGCCTTCCGCACGACGCGGGAGCGGGATCCGCCGCCCGTCCCCGGCTCTCCTGTCGTCGAGGCAGCCGCCGCGGCATTGCGGGAAGACTCTTCGGATTTCCCGCAACGTTCAAAAGTCGCCGGTTTTTGATCGGGTTGAGTAAATCGCGCAAACCACTCAAGGACGATGCATTGACACGGAAGCGCTCCATTCTTCTGTTCTCGCGAGCTCTTCTGCTTCTTCCCGTGATGTGTCCCGATTTTTTTGTAGCAACGGCAGAATGTGGTATCAACTAAGATTTTACTACGACGCTTCTTGCGTTTTATTACATGGAATTGATTGGACTTGAACATGACTGATCAAGACCGGCCTGTTTTGAAGGTGGCCCGTGAACGACACTGCTGGAGAGTTGGAGGCAGTCTCGCTCTGCAGCAACAACACAGGGTAGAGTGACACTCACAACAATGAGCGGAGCACCAGGTGGCTAAAATTCAGAGGTGGCACAGTGGGGAGCACAGTTAGTGCATCAGCCAGTCATCTCAGTCGGTCAACCCACGGCACCTTGGTCTGTCCCGTGACCTCCTGCTGGCAGGCCATCGGCACTTCACGCGGCCTCAAAGTGCACCCAGCCTGGCACAAGCGCCGTGGTGACATCACCACCACTTAGCGGTGTACAGCGGTTGTCGTTGTGGTGCGCGCATCGCCAGTGTGTGCCCACTGCCAAAATCGCTTCGCGAGCAGTCGCCTAATCCGCTCTCGAGTGCAGCACTAATGTGCACTTGGCTCGCCAAAACCCCCGGAGAAGTTCACACGGAGCTATTATTTTTCTTCCGAAAACCAAACAGACCACCACATGCCGTGTTCCTCTACGGTGGGTCATCGGTGCCAACCGAGTTGAGTTGGACCTCAGGTGCAACAACATTTGACGTTTTTACAAAACATGTGCTCGCGTCCCACCGCTGCTCATGGAGTCGTGCCCCTCCTGAAATCCTCCCATCCATTAATAAATGGACGCTAGTGGTTGGATGTTGCCCCATTGGTGGAATGATCTTCTTCTTTGTACGACTCGCGTAGATGGAGACCAGCTGCTTCAATTTTACAACGAGGTGGCTGGGACGAATAATTGCATCAGGATTGGCGTTCCACTGTGATGAGGCTTCCTCCTTTGCACATGTGAATCAGGCGCATTGAGTTTTTAAATATTCCATGGTATGCTCTGGGCTACCAGTCACACACTGGAAAGTTTTTAATTGTCCATGTCACAGCCAGTAAGAGACATCTACCATGGTTTGTGTGGACGCGGTTAAGGGTTGGGTACGATGGTTGGCAGCACGCTGGACTTGCCAATCCTGAGGTCGCAAATTCCGGAGCATACGTATGTATATTGAACTTCTTTTGCACCGTATGTAGCTAAACGTGCTAATTGGAGGCGTGGGGAAAGGACAAACTCAACACAAAGTGGCCGTTGAAACAACGGAGAAAGTTTCTTAAAAACACCCCCACCGCCGTCTCTCTCCACCCCGCGGACACATTTATATTTATGCGATACAGCCCCAAAAAACCCTGTATTATGGTATGAATGGGTTCGAGCCACAGTTAGCAGATATGGAGGTCCGTCGTGTGTGGGGCACTTACACCTCTTCTGAGACGTCTGCCCAGCGTGCAGAAGTCGGCCAAAATTATTATCCTCCAGAAGGGGCTCCTCTAGAACTTCTCCTGATGGGGAGGGGGTCCTTCCACCAGCAGTGGCACGAGCAATTACAGAGCGTCGCCTTCGCCACCCGGCTAACGTGACGAGTTCACTCTGCGAGAGATTTCGTGCGCGGTTGTGCCGCACAAGAGTTAACGTGGAGTGGCCGTGCGGGCGGGATTTTGGTGGGGTTGGGGGTTAACACGTCGTGGCCATGATGGATAGCGCTTTCCAATTTGAGAGTGCCGGCAATCTGCTCGGGGTTTTCCAATTCTCCTAAGCCATGGCGAGGAGCCCAGAAGACACTGCCACTGCCGCCGAATGATCATGTAACTAAACTAAAGCATCAACTGTTTTTTATTTTACCAGGTAAGGCCCACTGAGCTACACAGCTCTTTTTTTGGAAGCGACCTGGCCACAAATGATAGCTCAACGTAGTGGCTTATTATCACGTGGTAATTTATCGCTGCCAAATATTCAAGACGGATGTGGGCGGGGGGGGGGAAGGATGGTTCAGTATATGAGTGGGTAATTGGTTGACTGGGTGGGTGGATGGATGAGCAAGTGTACGGATGGTGGGTGTATTGCTTGAGTAGGTGGATGGGCGAGTTGACGGGTGGGTGGGTGGTTGATTGGGTGCATGAGTGGGTGGGTTGGGGGTGTGGTTGATCGCGAGAGTGGGGAAGAAGGTGGGCGGGTGATTAAGTGATGGATGGGTGGGTGAGGCTCGGAGAGTAGGTGAGTAACTAGGTGGGTCCGTGGGTGAGTACATGGATAGTTGAGGAGGGAAGTTTACCGAATAGGCAGTGAAGTGCGAGGGGCGAGCAGGTAGGCGAGCGAGCGAGTGAACGAGCGAGCTGGCGCATCGGGCGGCCAGTAGGTTGGATTTATCTGAGTGAGTGGGTTCAGGTTTGCCCTGGCATTGTCGAGAGCCCGGCGAGCCAGCGGCGTGCGTGTGTTTTGGTGGATCGTCAGCGTGCCGTGCGGAAGCCGCCGGTGACGCACCAGCACCCCCTTGATCCAGCCGAACTTGACGACGCCGCCCTGGTCGCCCGTCTGCAGCAGGGTGGCGCTCCCTGCGGAGGCGCCTTCTCCGTTCACCAGCCCGTCCATGTCTCCCATGCCGTCCCCTTGCTCCTGGCCAGGGTTGGGGCGAGACGGTGATTCCGCGTGAGTGGGGAGATGGTGCATAACAGCTCAAAACTGCCTCTCTCTCGTGGTAAAAACAATAATAATGCATGCAAATTATTCCCCGAACTAAATCGCATTCCTAAAATTAGCAAATATAAAAACACAATAATAATGCCCGCACAATTTACATCGGAAAAAAGCCTCTCTCGAGTCTCAAGCCTCTCCCAGGAGGGTGCTGGTACAGTGAGAGGGACAGTGAGAGTTTGGCTTCACGTGGGGGGGGGGGGGGGGGAACCGTAGAACCCGCAGACAGTCTCCCAACGCAAACGAGGAGGCGCTCAGCAACTTTCATTCGACGCCCCCACGCCCAAGATTGCTGGGCGCAAGCACTGTGGGTCACCTGTACACTTACTCAGCTTCTGAGAATCTGACAATTCGGGTGACCTTAGGGGCCAGGGGGTCGGCAACCGATATGACAAGAGGCGGCATTTTATAACGCCACGGAGCAGTTCCTTAAAAGAGCCAGCATGCGGTTCCGGAGACGCAGGTTTGCCGGAAGTTTGTGGTCGTGCGAGCAAAGCAACGTTTCGCCGATTTCATTCCTCGCGAAACGTTCATTTGCCGACAAATGTCTCAACGACCATTTCCCATTTCGTTCCCCCACAAGACGTGGACACAAACAAAAAAAGCACTTGCGCGTCACAGCACGCTACTTTATGATCACGTTATCGATTTTTTTCGGATGTGTTGTTACATTAGTGCAGTTCCGCTATTTTGAAATCGCATCCAAGACCGTTTAAATTCGGAGGGTAAATCGTCAGTGCAATCACGACATGGCTTTTTTGGCTTGGACTTAGCGCGTTGACTAATTTAGGACTGCGATCCAGATATAAATAATCTGTCCCCCTCTGTCTTGGAACGGGAACGTTCGTAAAATACCGCAGTGCCATCGGACGTAGCTCGGACTAACGGACTTCATCATCCACGCCGGGGTGGTGATGATGGAGAAAGCAATGTTGGCTGTGTGCGTCGAACCTCAGGTTTTTTTTTTATAAATCTACCAACACCTTAAAAAAAATGACATCCCGTATCTATCATCTGGAAAACTTTAACAAAACAACCTCTTCACCGTGAGGTCGCAGATATTTTGCGGAGCTGCCTTCGTTGAAAACGCACACCGCCCTGTTGCTGCCGGCTTCCCCTTGCGACGATAACGTGCCACATTTTGTATAGTGCCTTCGGATGAAGCTCCATTTAGAGCAGTGGTTTCTTAGCCTTTACTGCAGCTTGCACCCCCCTCCCACCTTCCCTTGGGTTCTCAGAAAGGGCATCTCGCACCCCCAGGTTAAGACCCACTGATTTAGAGAATCTTGCAGTTTGCATTCTACGACACGTAGCAACGGCGCCGATGCCCCCGTAGTCTAGAACTCCCTTCACCCCCCCTGCCAACCATGCTGTCTACTCCCTGCCCATGTTCATGTCCAGGCTTGAAGACCTTCCTCTTCTCTCCACTGCCGAGGACCGACCAACCGCCTCTCTCCACACCGAATGCCCCCAACAGTTGCTGCGGCCGTATTTACACGCCGCTAGAGAGAGAAACCCACACCAAGTATCGGTACGTTACTCTCCAAGGGATTTTCGCTGTTTGTTTCCACGCGACGCCGTAGTGGCCGCGGCGGTAGAATGAGGGCACGGGGTGGAGAGTAATTACCGCTCCTCACCGACGGCTTCCCAGTAAATATGGGAAATTGGGCCAACCTAGGGCCAATTGTGAGGCCAACATTGGACCAATGGTTCCGCCCACGTGTCAACGTTGGCCCGACGTCGGCACGGTTTCTGGGTTGGCCCTCCCCGCGGCTCGTCCCGCTCGCTGCCTCGCGGCTGCACCTCAGTGCTAAAATTCCGCAGAAAAAACTGGAAATGTAATAACGCAGGTCCTGTCCTTCCTGACCAGGAATAAACGTATGGAATGTCTCGCCCTCGCTAGGAAGCACACAGGCATGGCAGTCTGCAGCGAACAGCAGCACAAATGCCGTTCCTCGTGACCCAACGCAGTGTGGTCCCAGTAAACACGAAACGTTGGTCCAAAGGTCACAAGGTCATGCCACCGTTGGCCCAAAGGTCACTAGACCATGCCAACGTTGGCCCAAAGGTCAGAAGGACACGCCAACGTTGGCCTAACAGTTCCAAGACCATGCCAACATGACCCAACATTACATTGTCACCGAGTTTGTTCCGAGTTCAATCTTCTCCGTTGAATTACATATCACGCCATTGCGCGCCGCATGCGCCGTGACGACGACTAAATGCATTCCATATACTAATTTTAAGAAGCCCAGAACCGGTTCAGATAAATTTGCCACTGATGTTAGCCATGGGAGTTTGTAGTGCAGTGCTAATCACTAGACCACCAATCCACCCACTCATACATCACACACATACACACACTCACAAATCTATCCATCTTAAATTTGGAGTTGGCCAAATATCTTATTATAGGACAACAGAGCTTGGGCAATTGTTGCCACTGGCTACGGCCAACTTCCCTCCGAGGTTTCCCTCGCCTCCATGCAAAAACTCTGCAAAAATCCAAAGCGCTGTGCGATGTAATTAGCGTGAACTGCAGTGTGCGAAAATAAAACACCATTACGACTCGTAATTATTGGTTTGTGGGTAAGATCATGCAAGCAAAAAGTGTGTCGTACTTTATGACTAGCACAGGCAATTCATAAAGTTGTCACGTGATGATCGTGTCAATTTATTACTGCTTCAGAAGCACCACTGGGTGTGTTGTTGCTGGAGAGCAATCCGCACCACGTTTAACAACTGGGTACGATGTTTCGCTGGTCGTCGCAACCAGCATCAGCGGGCGGTTATGATTACGAGTGCCTGTGTGTTAAATAACAGACTCATTGCAAACAAATTGCTACACCCTACACCACACGGTACGTGTTTGTATGTATGTCGAACTTTTAAAATCGCACCATACCATTCGTAGCCAACCAATGCTAAATCGGAGGTGCGTTTAGCAATCATCAGGCTCGTGCGGTGCACAGCGGCTTCGTTCGCATTTCAACGGCGACACCTGGCGAGAAGGCGGAAACGACGCGCCAGGGCGGGACGACAGGGCAGCTGGCACGCAGAGAGTATCCGATAGCTGGGCCCGGCTCCGGTTATCAGTTCAGCTCATGACAGCAGCTACACAGAGACACGCTTAGCAACGACGACAACAACGACACCAAAGGGGGGTACCCGAGCGCACGCTGCTCACGACGCAGCAGCAGTGACGTCACCCAAACTCGGGTCGACGCGCCCAAATCCCACAACGCCGATGCTCCGTGTTTTCCGAGGACGTGCGACCGCTTAACTCGCCAGGTTAGGGTGGCGAATATTTGCGATCGTGAATAGGAGCGGAATAACCTTTCGCGTCCGCCACACCTCGCGCGGCGGTTCGATTTAGCCCCCGTGTGTTTCTGCTCTGAGAATCGCTGACTATTTTCAACCGCCTTGCTTTTGTATTCTCTTCACGTCGTACAGTCGCCCAGGAGAGCCTCACTGATGCGACCGCTTCTCGGGAATGTCCGGCCAGGTGTTGGCGGTAGTGGGCGAGGAATTCTGTGCACAATCCCGAAAGAGTAACCTGCAGCGTAATTTTTCTATGAGGAAGGCCTTCCTATGCATGCGATGTTGGTAATGGGTGGTTGTTTGACCATACTTCACCGCACCGGTCAAACGTGGGGCTGGTATACGATGGGGGGGTTAAGTTCTAGGGGCCAGTGCAAACATCGCTCGCCACGCACGTTAGACGTGGCCCGGTATCCAACTCAGGTCGCCGTTCTCACCGCGCGGCACGCCCATCACTAGGTCACCACTGCACCCTCAGCATGAGCAGAGCGTACACCTCGTGGTTGTGCGTTATTTGCTTATAAACGTTAATTATTACGTAGACGGCTCGCCACAAGCATCGCGAGCTGCCCTGCTAGTGAGGCGGTGCCAGGTGGCTCGGAGTTCCGAGTGCGGAGCCGGCGCCGCTGCGATGCCAGGTTTCAATCCAGGTTCCAGCTGCTGCCCGTGATGACACCAGGTTTCTCAAGAGCCAACGGTCACGAATGACCGCACACGGAAAAAAAAATAGAACGAATCAAAAATCTCATTTTATTCTGCACTTACATTTTGCCAAATAAAATTTTCAGTTCTGATAATTAAAATTCTTTGTTAGAATGCCACCTCCCCCCACCGCACTGCCCTCATACTGCGTGGACCTGAGGTCACTTTGAAGGAAGGGAACTCGGGAAGTAGCTCTGCGTTATCCTCTTCCGTGGGCCGTTCTCTAAAATAAAAAGGACGGTGGGGGGGGGGGGGGGTCACTCTCAGCGTGTGAAAGTTCCCAATTAATTCTTAATGCTCGTGCCGCGGCAGGGGGGAGGGGAAAACCCGTGGAAAAATAGGGAACCGAAACTAACGGACAAATCGCGAGTCGTCGTGACGCCCACCCCTGGCGAAAGGAAACAGCAGCGACGGGAACCTGAGAAGGGAGGCACCACTGCCCCACCGGCACGTGGCTTTGTGCGGCGATGAACACGAGCCCTATCCGTTGCGTGCAACGCAAACACGGTCAGCGACAGCGTGCACACGTCTCAATAAACATTTACAGTAGCGCCGCCGCAGACACACGCCCTGGCGAGTAGAAACCGTTGCTGCAGCAGTGGCTGCGGCAGCTGCAGCCACTGCCGCTGCCACCGCCACTGCCGTTGTTGTTATCTGCCAGTGGCGCCAGGTTGGCCGGGTGCTCCGAGGGCCTTCACTCGCTCTCGAACTCATCCACGCGGACCCGGTCTGGGCGGCGTTAAAAAAGGTCACCGTCATCATCGTTGATAACATCACTCGTCGTCACCGTCATCATCATTGTCGTCATCATCACTGTCACCGTCAGTCATAGTCATCGCCGTGACTCATCATCAATGTTATCATCATCGTCATTATCACTGCCATTATCTACACTGCCA